TTCCCTACACGACGCTCTTCCGATCTATTAAAAAACAAAATGCTGCCCAAATAAGTACATTTTCCAAAAGTGCAAGCATTTTTTTCAAATTCGTCCCATCACCGAATTTATTAAAAATTTAATAAAACTCCAAAGTGCTAAGCCTTAAATGGTCGATAATTAACCAGCTACCCTAAATTTACAAAATATATTAAAATTAAAAAATTGAGAATGAAAGTTTTAAAGTTACCGATGGAAGCGAGATGTCTGGAAGTATGATCGGAAACATTTTTCCAAAGATGAGCGATTTTTAATAGGTACTTTTTGTTTTGTTATCTCTTCCAATTCATGTTGAATGTCAAAAGACTTTTCACGAATAAATTCGTTTGCAATCTCGTTGAACTTTTCAGGTTCATCTTCTTTCTTTTCCTCAACGAGCAGTTGCAGTTCTCTTTGAAGTTTAACATTCTCACAAAAGTTCAGATACGGAATTCCAATTCTATCATGCTTCTCACTCGCTGAATCGTAGCCATTAACCAATGACTTTAACAAACTTTTTAAATCGTTCCATCGCTTACCTCGTCAATCAAACGACGACTCGATGTGTCGATGTCTAAACCAACGTAAGTATAATTTTCTTTCATTTCGGTTTCGATTTTTACATGTTGTTTAAATGATGTTGCTTTTAATAAACTGAAAGTAAAAAAAAAGTTTAATTTAGAAGATAAATTTTTTTTTGTTCCGAAAGGAAGAAAAAAGTCAAGGAGGCCATGATGCTTTTCATGTTCGCCTCGTTTTCGTTTTAAAGTTTTCATATTAAAACATTTCGTAAGACTGATTAAGAAGTCTCACGAAAACTTTTAAAACTTTAATTAAATTAAACTTACCTTTTACTTTCATTTTTGATGTTAATTTTTTTTCTAAATTTTTTTTGGGCCGGAGCGTTTGTTATCTGACGTCTTACTTCTTTGACTGACAAAATTGAATGAAAGAGCGAAATGAAATCAATCTTCTTGAGTCCTTCGATGACTTTTCAAATAAATTCATTGGGTAAGAATCATTGATCATCATTTTCAATTTAAAATTGTCAGCCGTTGAAATTAATGATTAATGATGATTATTGCATGAAAAAGTTAAATGATTTAAATCGCTTCAAGCCGTGAATGAACTAAAGAAACAAAATTTCAAATGAGCAGAAAAAGACATTTTTATTTTTTATGCAAGTCTTTGACCCTTTACAAGATTAATGTCAGAAATTAACCTAATTGCATGAGTGCACCAGCAGCTGAACATTTCTTAGCATTCGAACGGCCTTTAATCAGTACATGAGTTACAACATGACAATGATCTTTCAAGACGCAGAGCAAAAGTTTAGTAATGAAAAATTTACTTGAATACTTGTTATTGAGAGATAACTCTACTTAACATCATAATGTTCATGATCATGTTTTTTTATAAGACCAGAAGAAAGGTCATCATTTGAATGCAACTGGTGTTAAGGTTGATTAGGATTTATAGAAATGTAGCTAGCGTGTGACTGCAGCTAATTGCAAGTTCACCTCATTTGAAGAATTNCGACATTTCCTTTGTTTGAAACAAGACTCGCAACAACTCTTCAATTTCAATCTGGTTCAAATCCGACTTTCGACTTTCTGTTGACCGACCGACTTCAACTTTAGACTTTGACTTTCGACTAACTTTCCAACGCGACCGACTGACCTTAGCGACATTTCTTTCGATGCTGACTTCCGAACTTCGTACTTCAGGTGCTGCAACTTCAGACTTTACGACTTTGTTGATTGACAAGTGCACATCTGGAGTCGAAGATTTTCCAAAACTCGGGTTGGAAACTCCGAAAACAGTCCAACCAAAATGCGTACGACAAGCGACTGGATCATCTTGCTGACCGACAAAACTCTGAACTGGAACCAGGTACTTAGAATGACGAATTCCAATGAGAACTTTTGGAACCGCATTCTCGAGACTGGGGATCGGCAGACCACGAAGATGTCTAAACTTAGACTTGAGTTGAGCGACGTTGTTTGATTGTACAGGGAGATCAAGGTTTTTCAGGGCGTAAACATTCGACAGCGTATCAAATTCACCTGTGACACCTGAGATGTTAATGCGTGTGCGTAATGACTTCTCCTTCCTCCTGATTCCCTTAGTCCACTGCAACTCCAACTCTTCGTAGTCCCCAGACAATCCCAAACTTTCAACTAAACTTTCATCTATCAACGTCAACGAAGAACCATCATCAAGGAAAGCGTAAGTTTCGATTACGTTTCCTTTTTCTCCTTTCAAACGAACTGGAACAACTTTAAACAAAGCTTGTTCGGCATCGACATTATTCATTGTGAATGAATTCCAACGACGACTGTGCGACTCGACCTTTCCGACATAAGCAACTGACTGTTCTGCTTCGGAATTCGACGCCACTCTCGAATCCGAAACAGAACTTCCACTGTATCTCCTATGTAACATCCGATGGTGTTTTTCGTCGCAACCATTCAAGTTGCAAGTTCGAATGGTTGGACACTTCTGCCATGGATGACATTTCGACGACAGACAACAAGAACAAATCCGACGTTGGTTTACAAACTTCATTCGTTCTTGCGGCTGAAGAGCTCTAAACTCTTCACAATATCTCATCGTGTGCGAACCCTTACATTTAAAACACGACAACGACGACCTTGAATACGACTTCGACTGCGACTTTAACCTCGACTGCGACCATAACTGCGACTGCGACACGACTGATGGAAGCGACTTACATAATTTATTCGACTGGGGAATGGAAGATTTTACGGACGACAAAATATCAGAGGCAAGAGCGGAAGATGATGAAATATCCTTGACGCGATCCAACACTGAAACCTGCGAACTCTCAACTTGCTTGATAGCTTTGGATGCCAAGATGTTTTGCTCTGCTTCGAGCAAAGAAAGCGCTTCATCTTGTTTTTCCAACTGATACGACAACGACTGCAACATTTGCATAATTTTATCTTCCATCTTTCAACGACAAATGACGCGACAAATCGATTAATAAGTTCCTAAACTTATTAATCTTATCAAATAAAATGATGTCGTCCCGGGATCGTATGATGCTCTTAAATAAAATCGAAAATACTACCAGATTGATGTTGATGACAATATTTTCTAATGTGATTTTATTTCTACAATTAAAAACGTTACAAAACTTATAAAAGAAAAGAGAATTTAACTTACGATAAGATGACGACTTCACACTTGCACTGATCCCGACGACTTGATATTAAATGATTACAAAACCTAATAACAAACTAACATTAATGACATTTCAATGATAATTCAGAAGAAAATTACCACGTGGAAATAAGATTAATTTCTTTCTTATTTCCTACGACTACGACGATTCTGACACTGAGAACTGAACTAAAAATATATGAAAATTAACTAACTAATAACTGACTAAATTTAACAATCCTTACAACGACTATTTGAACGACTTTAACTAATTTTACATCACGACAACTAAACTTGATCCTTTCATCATACGATCCCGGGACGACAACTCTACTTAACATCATAATGTTCATGATCATGTTTTTTTATAAGACCAGAAGAAAGGTCATCATTTGAATGCAACTGGTGTTAAGGTTGATTAGGATTTATAGAAATGTAGCTAGCGTGTGACTGCAGCTAATTGCAAGTTCACCTCATGTCTATCCTGAAAATGAATGAAAAATCCCATGAAAATTAATAGGTATCAAAATATTTATTTGATTTGATTGACAAGTATCTGAAAGAAAAGCATGAAGAGTTCGTTAAAAATTCAAATTCAGCTAATCAGCTTTAAAACTTTGAAGCAAAAGTTTTCTTTCTCTTTCTAGTTGAGGAATGATGCGGAAAATAATTTCAAGTTATTTATTTTTAAACCGTCAGGCAATCGGAAGACTACATTTATCCAACATGAGTTTAACAAATAGAAAAGATTACAATTTTAAACATCTTTTTGATGGAATTGATTTTAATGTGTATGACACGGAGGTTATCAATTTATCTGCGGGAACGCCGGGAGAAAATTTGCTGAAAGATTGTTGTGAGATCTTCAAAACTGCCACAGATCATCGAATGGTGAGATAAAAATAAACATACAAAGATTAATAGCAATAGTTCTTTTATTGCGTAAGTATTTCTTATAAAATATGAGTCTAATGTTTGATAAGATGCTAAGGAGAACGATAAGCTTTCAACGTCTATAGCGATAACGTTTGAAGTGAAACCACAATTGGAATATATTGTTTTGGAACTGGCAACGGAAACCTCTTTTGTAACTGAATTCCCATTCGCGGTTAACTATTTTAAATGCAATATCTTCGTAAGGCGGACCTGCGTGGAATTTTAAAATTGCGAAGTCAGCATTGTCGGTACACGGTGTCAAGAAGTATTGTGGAGTTGAACTTTTGTTTATTAAATCAGGAAAGAAAATGTTGAATTTGTATCCTTGAACAATCTTCGGTGGCGGATTATCCATATCATAATGTGTTTGATTGTATTTATTCCATTCAAATCCAGTATGAACTCGATTAAAGTATCGAGGCTTACGTGGACGATACTTGTCGGACCACAGATGCATTTGTGGATCTAATCTTGATTCTACTGAGAATTCAGCTTCATCGTCGTTCATTCCCTTGCGAGCTTCGTTTCGTAACAATATTTCTTGTCTTGATAAGGAATTTTCTTCGTTTTCTTCATCAATCACTTTAACTCGTAACTCTTCCAAACGATTTTGATTCTCTTCTTCAGTTATAATTTCTGTTCCTGGTTCTAAATCTGAAGGTTTCAGGAACTTTGGTGAATAATTTCCTTTATCGTAAAGTTTAAAGCATTCTTGAATTAAATCAGTTTGAACATCTTTGTCAGTTGAATGATGACTTGAATCTTGAGATGATTCGTCAGTGTCAGTTTCAATTGCTGCTTTTGATGTTGATGGTTCCATATCATGAGAAGTGCTTGGTTGTGGTGACTCTTGATGTTCTCTCATAGAAATTTCTTCTTCACTTTCTTCTCTTTTGACTAAAGTTTCTTCTTGTTCCTGTCTTAGAAGTTCAAGCTTTATTTTTAAGTTCTCTTGGTGGCGGTCTCTTAATCGAGCTCTTGCCATATGGGCTTTTAATTGTGATAACAAACTTTCCCAATATCCAACGTCGAGGCCATCGGTTTGATTTGAAATTTTATGTTCAATTTTCGTTTTAAGTTCGTTCAGTTGTGTAGTTGATTTTCCTCGAAAAATATCTGAAACATCTTTTGCCACACTTTGATGAATTCCTTCACGTTGATTTCTTTCAGACTCTTGCTTTTTAAGTTTCTTGAGGTCATCGTCAACTATGACAGTCAAATCTTCCCAATAACCAACATTCTCGCCTTTTTCAAGTTCGTTATAAACTTTGATGTCGACCAATAAATCTTCTAAATCATCAATGCTTAAGCCACTAATGTACTGATATGGTTCATGCATTTGCATTTCGATCGATTCCTCTAAGTTTTGATCATTTATATATTGAGCAAGCAAATCAATAGGTTTTGCTCTTCCATCTTGAATTCTTATTTTACTTCGTAGGCGAGCTTGCTCCAGGTGGAATGTTTCTTCCTGTTTTTGCCATTCTTCAAATTGTGCCGCTTCTTTTGATCTCTGAACTTGATACATTTCATCCTCTCTTTCCTGTCTTTGTGCTTCCCTTTCTAAACGACGCTTTTTCAGCTTTTCAAGTTCCTCAACATTTTCCTGTTTTTTTCTTCGATTTAACTGCTCGAGTTCTTTTCGAGTAAGGTTTTTAAGGCCTTCTTTTTCCATTTTCTTCCCCCATACAAAAGTAGACGATCTGTCTTCTGTTTTATCTCCCCAACCCATGTTTATAGCTGTTTCTAAAATGGTTTAACAAATTAAGGGTTGAGTTAAAAGGTGCTTCTTTAAATTTAAATGCTTTCACTACACCTTAAATATCGTTTTTAATAAACGTTTTTGAAAATGTTTTTGTTACACTTTTGTCAATAACAAGAAACCCCTCAACTTGTTTGCATCTTTAACAGAAATTTGAAAATAAACCGTTACAAACATATTTGTTATATTTACTCAGGAATATGAGCTGAATCACAATTCATTCCTTTTCCAATATGGACCTGCAATTGGAAGTATTGAATTCCGCTCTAAATTAGCAGAGTTTTTAACAAAAGGTTATGGATCGAAAGTTGAAGCATCAGACGTAGTATTGTCAGCTGGAGCAACCAATGGAATTCATTTGATTCTGTCAACACTAATCGATATGAATGGATTTGTTTTTCTCGATGAAGTTACTTACATGATTGCTTTAGAAGCTATTCAACAGTTTTCAAACATCAAAGTCATTCCTATTAAATTAAACGATGACGGTGTTGATATCAACGATTTGGAAGAAAAGATTAAAAGCAATAAATTTAATTCAGAACATAAAATGTTTTGGGGAATGTACTACACCATCCCAACTTTTCACAATCCAACAGGAATTCTTTTCTCCAAAGGTGAATTGAAATCGAATTTTTAAAAATTATCTATTAAAATATTATTTTGAATAGAAATCAATGAAGCCTTGATAAGTCTTGCACGAAAATACGATATTTTAATTGCATGTGACGATGTTTACAACCTGTTGCCTTTTGAAGCTGAACATCCTCCAAAACGTTTATATGCTTACGATTCGTTTGATGATGAAAATTTCAAAGGAAATGTTATTTCAAATGGAACCTTCTCAAAGCTTTTATCACCTGGAGTACGTGTTGGATGGATGGAGTGTCCACCAAGAATTGTAAACGAGTTTCATAATTCAGGTGTTCTTAAATCTGGAGGTGGGATAAACCATTATACATCTGGAATTGTTTGCAGTCTCATTGAGCTGGGATTAGCTGAGAAACAATTAAAGAAATGTTTGGAAACTTACAAGGAACAATGCAATGCCTTATGCGATACTCTCGATCTTTACTTGCCCTCGTCTTGTAAATTCATTAAACCCAAAGGAGGCTACTTTATTTGGATTAAACTACCAGAAAACTGTGACGGCGATGCTTTAAGTGAACATTGTTTGAAGAAGTTTAAAGTTTTTGCTATTCGGGGAAGTCGCTTTTCTATAGAAAATAAATGTAAACATTTTATTCGTTTGTCATTTGCTTTCCATCCACCGGCATTGTTAAGGAAAGCTGGAAAAGATTTATGTGAGGGTATTAACGATTACTTCACTCTTCACAACATATTGTGAACAAAAAAGAATGACGTGCGTCATCTTTATCAAACAAAAGATAAAAGATATCTACTTAAACATTTTTAAAACTTGTTTTTAAACAATCTCTTCTTAATATTTGCATACAAAATAAAAAGTAAATAAAAGTTGAGAACATTTCATAAACTTCTTTTTCTACACGCACAGGAATTTCTATGTGAATTTGAATATTTCACATACTCAATTTAATTATCTATTCTCAGTAACATAAAACGTTGTCATTTGGAGAGTGAATAAGAATTTAAGTAGCTAACTAGATATTTACTAAAGTAAAATATTTTATGTTTGTATAGAAAATAATTAAAGTCAAATAATACGTAAACCACAGTCTTTAACTTTCAATCAAGTGCTCTGCATATTTAAGAGAGAACTTGTGAGAACGAAAAAAAGTCAGTAAAACACCAACTGTTGAATAAGTCACTTGCTTAATTTGTCAATTTCATTCAACGTTTTACAATCGAACAATTCTTTTTAGACTATTTTTCAAAAACTAATGAAATATCTTGTTACTGTTATGTTTAGCGATGCATAATTTAAATTCTTAAGGAAATCTCCTTGCCTCGTGATTGAATAACAACAATTTTTATTTTCTGTAAGTTCAAGAGTTTTGATAATTTATCCAAAGTGTGTACGTGTTATGAATAATTCATAAAATTAAAATTTTTAAATATAAAAATCGACTGACGCCGTTCGATAATCAATTACTCAAATTTATTCCACACGTGATATCAGAAAATTATTTACAGTCATTGATCAAAGTCAAAATTATGAACGGGGTTTTCTCAAAGGATGTCAACATTTCTTAGTTTCGTGTCTTAATTATTTATGTTACATTAAACATTCATTTAAATAATGTCGAATGATTAAAAAGCTCATATTTTGATATTCTTTCAGATCGTCATAAAATTTATTTTCCTATAAATATAAAACGCTCGGTTTCGTATCTCATAATTTTATCTTCTCATATTGCGACACACTCATAAAAATTATTTTGACCTTTTCTGACATTCTTCAAACCATTTCGTGGAACATTGAAGCTTCAATGAATTGACAAACACGGTGGTCAGCCGTCCAAAAGTATCATGGCCGAAATGGATAATGAAACCGGTGAGATTATGATGAACAGTCTGACTATTTGTAATTTCGATGCAGAAACAGGAGAGTGTGTTGGAAGTGAATCAGAAAATGAATTTGAGATCAAACAAAGTGCCATACGTAAGACGAAGTTTAATGTTCCAAAATCTTATTTAACTCAATCAGAGCCGAAACAAAATAAAAAGAAATATTGTCTTGACAGTAGAGAGACATATTCTCTCACAAGTAAAGAACGGATTATTGAATTAAAAGAGGTAATTTTATCATATTGATATTTGATATAAGAGTTAAATAATTTAACAATTAGCATCGTGAAATTTCAGAAAATCATTCTGGGTTACAACAAAACCAGTCATCGACTGTTTCTCATTCCATCACTTTTCATCTTTCCGAAAGTTGCTGCAATCATCATAATGATCACAGAAATAATTCTACATGTTTGGAGCCACAGCAAAAACACAAGAAATGCGAATCCTAAAATATATTACAGAAGTCCACTTCACGCACTCACTTCACAATTTTGCAGTTTTTGTCTAGAAACTAAAGAGTTACACAATGAAAGATATCATAGAAAACGAGTTATCTCTCCAAATTCCAAATGAAAAAAATTAAATCTTTTATTTGATGTTTTACATTTATTCGAAATATCTTAGTGATTTTTTTCTCTTATTGTCAGAAGATTTTTTCAATTTTTCAGGGCTCTCAAGATCAACTGAGATATCTGAATCTTTTCTTTTTCTTTCTGAATCATTTTGTAAAAGCAGAAGAATCACTCGAATTTTTTTTCCATCAATAATCGGTCTGACATTCATTCTTGCAGCCATTGCTTCTTTTGATGACGAATAAGTAATAATCGCACGTAGTTTTGGAGAATGCTTTAAATCAAGATTGGTATGGTGAGGAAATAGCTCAGCAATATCGGCTTTTGTTACATTTTCCGGAAGTTCGCTGACCAGAAGTTTGTTGCTATACTTTTCAAGACACTTTATTTGGAAAGTTTGTTTTGTCAGATTATTGACAAATTGCTGTCGTTCATTGTCTGATTTTGATAGTGAATTGTTTTCTCTTATGGTCAACTTGTTAATTTTGACTTTTATCTTTGCTATCTCCTTCTTTTCCAAAAGAATTTTCTTGTATTCTTCAGCTTGTTCATTTGTTTCAAAATCTACCAAAAACCAACGTGCTGATTTTTGTCTTGGTTTTCGTACATTAGCAACAGATGGATACATTTCACGTACTGCATCATCTATAAGGCAATTAAAAATACCATTAAAATATCAAGTTAAATGAACGAAAATCTTTTTTTCTGAATATAGGTATATAATAAAAATAAAAGAAGTTTGCCTTAGCTTACTTACTTATGTTTATTACATTAGGAATTCTTCTTGACAATCTTATAAAAAGCGTAAACTTATTTGCAAGATTTTCTTCTCTTTTTTTAGGCATTTAGATAATTAATCGTAAATAATGAAAGTTTGTTGTTTTTTAAATTCTTTGATAAAAATATCCCTCGTGTGTGAACAAGATGCAAAGTATTGCCAAGCCCCTTGGTGTCGATAAATGATGCAAACATTATTCAAGAATAAGTCCTAATTGAAATTATTTTTTAGTTTTCGCTAAAATTTACACTCATCAGATGGTTTAATTATTAAATGTAAGTACATAATCTAAATACATTATCATTGATTCTTTCTCTCAGAGTTGAAAAATGTGTAATAGTTTACTTCGAAGATATTAACAGACCAATAATGTTACATTATAATTAGTTAAATATTATCAATTCATTATTCGCGCTATTTTCGTTTCAAGTTCATTGAACTTAAATATTTCTAAATAATAAATGCTGTAATAATTAATTCGAAGTTAGTTTTCACTTGATATATCTTGCGCAACTATATTTAAAATTCAATTGCTTCAAGGTCGATGCGTAATATAATCACAGTTTCTAAATGTAAAATTAACTGTAACAATGATCACATAACTTGTTAGAAACAATCAATCCATAGATTTCAGGCCATAGAGACTGTCAATTTTCATTATAAATTTTCAAATAATTCACCCATTTGATAAATTCTGAACCTTGCTCTTTTGCACATATTTATAGGAATTAAAAATCAAAAATAAATAAAGTTGTGATTGTCGTCGAAATTCCTTTTTTTTTAATCGTTATCACGGTAAGCTCAGATTGACTGATAACAAACACGTAGGTAGTAGAAAAAGAAATCTTTAAATAAGTCAGAGTAAGGTTCACAGTTCGCATAAAATTATCGTGCAGCAATAAATCGAAGCAGAGGACTACATTTTACAACTAACAACATTAAAAAAATGCAAATTGTTTGTCATTGAATATTGTTAAACTTGATAATTTATTTATTTGCCTTTTCATTAGATTAACATTTAGAAGTAAAGTGTTTGCACCTGGATTCGCACAAAGGAATACTTTAAACATCAGTAAAGCATGGCAAGCCTCATCGAAAAGATTAAATCTTCGTTATTTATTCATCTTTGTTTTGCTATATCTTATTTTACATCGGGTCTTGTTATCAATATACTCCAAGGTCTCCTCTTCGTTTTGGTGAAGCCTTTCAACAAGAGATTATTCAGAAAGTTGATTTATTATTTATGCTACAGTTTCCATTGCCGTAAGTGATTAAACTTATTTGTGTTATTATGACATTAAATAAATTTTTTAATATAATATTTCAGAATTGGTTGCTATTGCTGAATGGTGGAGCGGCTCAATACTTAATGTTTATATAGGCAAGGAAGATTTAGAGAAATGTGGAACTGAACATGCTTTATTGGTAATGAATCATGCATATGAAACAGACTGGCTTTTCGGATGGATGTTTACAGAAAAAGTTGGCGTGCTAGGAAATTGTAAAGCTTACGCAAAAAAAGTAATTTCTTATATTCCAACAATTGGTTGGAGTTGGAAATTTGCTGAATTTGTGTTTCTTGAAAGATCTTTCGATAAAGATAAAGTGATCATCACAAAGCAGTTGAACGAAATATTTGACTATCCAGATCCAGTGTGGCTACTTTTAAATGCAGAAGGTACTCGATTCACTCCCACAAAGCATGAAGCATCTGTAAAGTTTGCTCAAGAACGTGGAATGGCAGTTTTGAAGCATCATTTGGTTCCACGAACCAAGGGTTTCACATCAAGTCTTCCGGTCTTGAAGAAAAAATGTCCTGCGATTATGGATGTTCAACTTGTGTTTGATGAAAAAGACAAAGTCAAACCAACGATAATAAATTTGCTGCGTGGAAAGAAAATCACCGGTCACATTTATCTTCGAAGAGTGCCAATGTCTGATGTTCCTGACGATGAAGCTGCAGCTAGTCAATGGCTTCATGAACTGTTTGTTCGTAAAGATAAGCTGCAAACGAGCTTCCATAAAACTGGAGATTTCTTCAAAGCTACTGACATAACTCCAATTGAACCAATTACTTTCAAACCAAGAATTAAAACACTTATAAACTGGGTTAGTTGGATGATTATCGGAATGCTACCGATTTTGTACTTCCTTCTGACGTTAATTTTAAGCGGGCAGATCGCTTATGTCGCAATAGGTTCAGCTATTTTCGTTGCATGTAAGTTCATTAATATTTCAATCATAAAATTTAATTACATACATTCTTTTGCTTTGCAGTTTACATGCTGTTTAACTATGCAATTGGAATGTCAAAAATAGATAAAGCTTCGAATTATGGTGGGACAAATGATGACAAGAAGGATAATTAATTTCGTGTTATATCGAACTCGAATAGCATGATGCATAAGTTGATGCCATGCCCATTGCTGTTGTTCATTTCTAGCTTCCAAAAATTATTTTTAATATTTTCCGAATTATTTCGTTCTTACATTCTCTTTTCGTTATTAAGAAAAAAGTTTAATTACACTTATATATGAGGTTCAGAACTGGAAAAGTAAAAAAGGAACTTTCATTAGAATTCATTATGCACAACAATTTATTAATGTTTTCATGAGCTACAAATTCTGATAATAAAATGTTGTAAAAATTAAGAGTTTCTTCATGTGTTTGATTTGATGCTGTGGTGAAAATTTCTAAACTGGAACTTTCTCGGATCTTTCAAGGAGAAGTTCTACCAAGGTAGATCAAAATTGCCCAGAATTGCCCAGAGCTTATCATTCTATCCCCTTAAATTTTGGAAATTCCCCTCCCCTTTTTAACTCCTTGCATAAAACTTTTGAGTCACTTGATTGCTGTACTTTGTAACGACAAGTCGTAACTGAAAAATTTTGTTAAAACATGTGATTTTCTAAAAGTTTAAGAAGTAAAACTATAAAAGTAAGAAAGAAATCATATATTTAAGGACGAAATCAATTTATATAAGAAGAAAACGTCGAAATAAGTAATAAAGTGAAAAAACGCTAAATTTTGCATGATGACTGGGGAAGGTGATAAAGTTAAACAGTTATATTGCGTGAAGTACTCTGATTCTGCTACACTTCAAACTCGCTACATCTGTGTTCAAAAGCCAACAAGGTAAGTTTATCACAGCTTCCAAAATCTTCCAACTTTTTTTTCCAACGCTCAATATATTGCAACATGTTCAAACATGTTTTCCATATTAAATTTCGAATTTTTTTATTTTATGCTTTGAATGTCATCAGAAATTTAATTAATTGTTCAAAACGACAAAAAAGTTTCATATCATGTCTTTTATGTATCAAAAAATCTTTGTTTTTAAGATTTAATTAACAATTTCTTGATGTTCCTTGTTTCCATCTATTAGAATTCGTTATTTTCAAATTTTGCCTCACCCCCCTTTATTTTTCGCATCTTTCAACTCTGAAAAAAAAGAACGAAAAAAAATTTCAATTTCTTGTAAAGTTATGAGATGAACGTAAATATATATAAAATCAAAGTAAGTAATTCCTTAAATAAATTGAAAATAATGTTTTATAAAATATGATAATATAAGATATTTCGAGATTTTAAAGTAAGAAAATCAAGAAAAAGAATTGTGAAAAAAAACTTCAGTGATTTGGCATTAAGGCCAGAAAGAGTTCCGCACACATTTTAATATTAAATTTACATGTTTAAGAGTTTTAGATGACATATTCCTTATTAAGTTTTATGCATTGTATGAAATTGTTTGTTTTGTGTAAGTTAAGGTTACACGTAAATGTCAAATTTCTAATTTGTTTGGTGGTTTTTTTTTCGTAAAAAAAATATTTTGGTCCATTTGTGTCACAAAAACGAAGACCTTATGAAGGGTAAAGACCTCGAAATGGTATTTTACAGTGAACCTTGAATCGAACCCACTACTTTTCTTCGCTACGGGTTTTTTTTTTGCTAGAAAATTCTTGTGAATCATCAAAAAAGAAAGAAAAAAAACAGAGTTGAACCAAACCAACATTCCACTTCACATTCGCAATTAATTTATAAATAGACTGTTGTAGACACACCGTCTAGTGAATGTCCGGAATGATAAGATCACTGACATTTTAACAATGCAATAGATTTAATAGCTCAATTTTATTTAATTATTTCAGAATGCCAGTTCAGGCACCTTCGTGGACAGAATTTCTCATTTGTCCCATTTGCACAAATGAGTTCGCAGTAAATCTTCGATCTCCCATCACCCTGCGCTGTGGCCACAGTATCTGTAAAAAATGTCTTTCAAACATCCAGCAATGTCCATATGATCAGGTAAGATTTGTCTTTTTTGTCGAGTTTGAATTTCAACTTCCGTGATGATGATGGTAATGATGAAAATACAAAACACGTTTAGAATTGCACTTTCACTTTTTAACAATGTGATCACTAACGAATACAATCAAAGAAACGAAACTAAGTCAAATTTTAAGCTTTTCTTATTTTAATTTTTTCTTCCATTTGTTTTCTTGTTTAAATTTATTAAATTTAATTATTTCCAAGCGGAAAAGGAATTATTTTAAAAACTTTAAAACAAATATCAACCACTTGTTATAAAAGTTCGTCTTAATTCTCTTTTGTTTTTATTTTTATCTCGAACGATTCTAGTCATCAATAACAAAGGATTTGGACAACTTGCCCATCAATTATGCTTTACTTCAATTAGTTTCATCACCAAATGAAATCATTGAACCGGAAATTCCAACAGCAATCAAGTTATCATTAACAGAAGACGATTTAAAATCTTATAAGAAGTCGAAAAGTTGCATTGAAGAGTTGGCATTGTACTTGAAGCCAAATGGAAGTATTTCTGGTTTATTCTCACGTCCAATGCAAAGAAAGTTAGTGACTTTAATTAATTGTCAACTAGTCGAAGATGAAGGTCGTGCTCGAGCTATGAGAGCTGCACGCTCTTTAGGCGAACGAACCGTCACTGAGCTCATTCTACAACACCAAAATCCCCAACAATTGAGTGCCAATTTATGGGCTGCCGTTCGTGCACGCGGTTGTCAATTTCTTGGTCCAGCAATGCAAGAAGAAGTTTTGAAGCTCGTCTTACTCGCTTTGGAAGATGGAGTGTCACTTTGCCGTAAAGTTCTCGTGATGTTTGTCGTTCAACGTTTGGAGTCGGCATTCCCACAAGCTTCCAAAACCAGCATTGGTCACGTTGTTCAGCTACTTTATCGCGCTAGCTGCTTTAAAGTGTCAAAACGTGACGGAGATTCATCATTAATGCAATTGAAAGAAGAATTTCGTACTTACAAAAACTTACGCAAAGAACACGATGCACAAATAGTACAAATTGCTACCGAAGCAGGACTTCGCATTGCACCCGATCAATGGTCAGCTTTGTTGTATGGTGATGCTAATCATAAGTCGGATATGCAATCATTGATTGATAAACAACAAAGTCCACAGTCCTTTGGACAATCAGTGCAAGAATTGATGATTGCATTACAACGAACTGAAGATCCAGCAAAGCTTTCATTGTTACGCGACGATCTTAAAAGTTTGGCTGCTATTGATGCATCATCCGAATCGAATTTAACACCAAAATGGAATGAATGTGAAGATGCCATTGTGGCTGGGAAAAATGTCGTTGATGGACTCGTCAAATACATTCAGCATCATGGAAATCGTAAACCTCAAGATGTCAGTCATTTATCACATTCAACACGCTACAAGATCAGCTTCTGTCGTGATTTGAGTATTCGTGGAAATTGCCCACGTGGGCAGAACTGCACATTCGCTCATTCTGACGAAGAACTCGAGCGCTATCGTGCAAAAATGAAGAAGAATGTCATGCGACAACAAATGAAAGACATGCCGCCGTCATCCACTTATCCCGTCAACAACAATAATGGACCAAATCCGAAAGTTAACATTTCACATCCACCATATGGATCTGCAAGCAGCGGAGCTGGTGGAAGTTACAACAAATCAATGCCATATCGTAGTGAAAATTCTTTGCACAACAACCACACACCATCAAAGATTGCATCGCAACATTTAATGCCAACAACATATCCGACATCGGGATCATCTTCAAATTCAACGCCGAACTTATCGCAATCTCAATTGAGTCCAAAGTTGTTGTCGGGTGTTGGTGCAAACAACAACAATCGCTTTTCTTATAATGCTCACAACTACAACAATTATTCGCCACATTATGCAAATTCATCGCCACCACTGCCGAATTTTGTTCAGAAAATTGGATATCAAAATTATCGCCCAACGCCACTGTCAGCTCCACCAACTTCGTCACAACACTACATGAAGACATCGCCAAGTGGATTTTCTCCAGATTACAATAAGCAATACTCACCGTATCGTAATCAAATACCGACAGCAATGAAATCAACGACTGGTAATCACAATAACAATGGCGGGAGTGGATTTTATCAAATGCCACCGCCAATGTTACGCAACGAAGATTTTTCTAACAATAACAACAGCAATGGAAATCTTGGTGATGTTGGAAAATATAATTTGAGCTGGCGATCGGGAAATGGAAAAGTCGATAAGTTGAAGACGCCGATCAGATCACCAAATAATCTTGCACCACGCAGTCCAACTTCTCAAACCAATTCCAATAATGCTTCGCCGTCAGGTCTCATTGAATTGTCACCAATTGAAATCAATCGCATGATGTATCGTAATAATAACAAGACAGTTGATGAGGTTGATAGTCTTGCAATGTCTGACATTTATGGACCTGGAAAGCAGCAATCAGCATTTCAATTTGACACATCGCAACTTGCAAAGAACAACTTTACACGATCTGACTCAATTTTAGCATCTTGCACGGATGATGACTTCACATTTGAGAATAATTCGACTTCAGGTCAATATGGTGCAATAGGAATCAAGACAAGTCCACCGACATCGACGTCATCACGCATTTGGAACAGTGGAATGATGCAGAAGCGTATGGAAAGTACTTACAACAATGGCAATGATTCAAAAATTGGACTTTACAATATGTCGCGCATGAATCTGACCTCAAATGGAAGTGGCAATAATTCAGCTTCTCGTGGAAATTTCTTGAATATGCACATGAATCCATGTGAATTGAATGTAAATTCGTTTTATTTATTGAACTTTATTCATTGATCTAACACAAAAATTTTGTTATTTCTTTCGTCAGGTTCAAGTTTCAACACCACGAACAACTGCTGATGATCAACAACAGAATAGCATTTGGAGCAAACCAATACAAAGCTGGAGTGATGGGGACTTTGACTTATCTCATGATTTGAATTCTGGTATGTCAAAAAACCTTTGGGATTTCATTGATGAATAGAAAATTGTGTTAAACTTACACACAAAACAATATTTCAAGACAACAACATAATTCCTTTTTCCCCTTAATAATTTACCTTTTTTTCCCCTGATATTCAATCATTAATTAACTCTTTGTTTTAAATATTTTTTGGAAATTAACATTTTATATTCGGAGAATAACAGACGGAAGGTCGAAATGTTAAAACAGAGTCTCTGCAACTTTTTTTTTTAAGATGTTATTAATTTATTACAAGTTTATGTTAAGACCTAAGCTTTTCAAAGTGTGATTTCAAGCGTACTAAAGCGCATAACTTTTCTTCAAATCAAAAAGAGAAACAAGAAATGATTTGTTTTGATAACTTTGTTCATATGAAAACTAAAATCAGGAATTTGTTAATTATTAGAAAAAATTTAATTGCACTTATGTAGGATGTTCCGTAAGGCTTAGATATTTGAATCCTAATAATTATTTCATTAATTTTTGACGTCAAAATATGTGTGACATGACGTACAATTTAAGAAGAAAATTTTTTACTGCTAATTAAAATAAAAGCCACAAAAATGGCAAGTGAAAGAAATGAAAGAAAAACCTCAAATTTCCAATGGTTGATTACTAACATAAACTTAATTATTTTATTTTTTTTCGCACTAATGTTAAATCTTTGTTAAAATTTATGAGACTTCTTCGTACTCCAAAAAGGAAAAAAATGATTAATGTAATGAAACATCTAAATAATAATAATAATAAAAACATATAGTTAACGTTGAATGTTCTTTCTAAAAGAAAACTTTTCCCAAACTTCCCTTACACATCTTTTTATAAATTCAATGAAGAGAAAGATATGCGCATGATTATAAGATGCCAATTACTTAGTGATCGACAATTAGATCAAGATAATGTTCTTTTTGTAGTTGTTTGTTTAATGATGATGACAAAAAAGGATGAGAAAGTAAACAACCTGAAAATATATTAAAATTTTAATTAAATGGCGAATCATTTTTCATGGGCTGTATAAATCACACATAAAAAGTCCTCAAGCTAGGAAATTCGTGATATCATTTCCATACCAGCCACCAACCTTGACAAAAATCTTAAAGGTTGCTTATAATGTTGGAGGAAAATAAATAAAAGGCAGTGGTGCAGTTTAATTTGAATTATATTAATTTAATGATAACAGAATTAAAGTAAATTAATAATAGATGAAAGTGTTTATAAATATAAATGCAAAAAATCATATTACACAAGCTAGACAAAAAAAATCACTAAGATGATTGCTAAATAATAAATCTATTATTATATATCTAAAATTTATGTATTTAGAGAATCGGATGTTAAAATATCCATAAACAAGTTAACAAGAAAAGCTAAAAATATGAAAAAAAAATCAACTATGACTACATTTGATTAAAAGTTATTTAAAAGCTCTGTTTAAGAGATGATATTAATTATATTGCTGATTCCTGCAGAAAAGAAACGATCAAAATTCATAGTTTAATGAGTTTACGTACTTTTATCAAGAAAAAAGATGATGAATTATAAATAAGTTTGAAGATCGTTCACTAACTTTGGTACATGTTAAATATTTACATGTGGTAGAAGTAAATGCTTAATATTCTTGTAAGGATTCTATGAATAATATAATTGTTAGCTAATTTCTTTGGAATATAAAACTTCATGAGTTTATCTCGTTTAATGAGTTCATAACTTCATTCTTAATCGTATTTATATTGACAATTCAGTTTGATTCTGAATTTGTGTCATGAAGCATACAAATAATTGCTTTAAAAGTTGTTTAAGTGAACTTTTAAACTTTTGATTACGTTTTTAATTACATTAAAACTGCGAAAATATTTTTATTCCTTTTCTTTAATTCTTCTGACAATAAAAAGCTCATTTAAAACGAAAAGTTTCTCAAGCTTTTCTCGTTTATATTTATCTATGAATGGAGATTTAAAAACATTGAAAAACAGTCCAAACATATAACTGCAAAACCATATTCTAATATTGATTCATAAGCGAGTAGCCAGAACAGATTTGTCTGTTTTTCAAACATTTTAAAATAGTGCTAGAAAGTTAAATATAAAAAAGATTTTTTTTATTGCTGATTGAACATTTATCTAAATCACATAGAAAGTAAAAGTAAAAAGTTGATGTTTTTTATTGATATTTCTCGAGAAACATAAAACTGATGGAAACTTTTACAATCAAACACACTCATTTATTAATTCCGTGTTGTTTTTAGACTTGAACTGTTAACTTATCTGTTGCATATTGGTGTTTAGTAGTTCAAACACACGTTTTAAAAGTCATTTCACTTTATTCCCAAATCCTTTGTGTTTATTTTTATTTTTTCAATATTCAATGAATTTAAGACGCGTAGGCTGTACCTGTATCAAATTTATATTATCTTTCCTGAAATCATCAAAAGAAGATAAAACAAATATAAAAAAGAATCCTTTTCGTGTGGAATTTTGTTAACAATTGCATCATTTGTTGATCGCATAAATATTTTGTAATCTCTTTCTCCATAGTCTGGATTTCGTAAAAAATGAAAAATGTATCTGATGTTTCATTATTTTATTATGAATTGTGATGTGAAATTAGAGTTAACATTAAAACCATGATGAAGAAAAAAATGTATAATTATGTTCCGTTAAAGGGACTTTTGCAAACAATGAAAACTATTGAAATTGAGATACTAAACTTACAAGCATAAAAGCATTGTTTCTTGCAATTTTTTGAAAGCAAAAAGAGATGAAAAACAGAAACAAAAAGATTAAAAAAAACACTGAAGAGATTCCCTTTGATTGTCCAACTGTATTTATTTGAATAAGTAGATCGACAAATCTGTGCATGTTGAAAAAGTCAAAGTTTAATCACTGAAAAAATAATAATAATTATAATAATAATAATAATAATA